TCTTCTTTTCAGCTGTCTACAGCCTTTGAAATTCAGCGCGGCTACGCCGCGCCCTTCGGAAACCATTTTGGAAAATCCTTCCGGGGGACGCGACAATTGGACCTCCGCCCGAGCGCGTGTTAACTAAATTTGGGGGGTTTCATGAACTTTAAAGTGAACATTCATTCACGCAGATGCCAATATATTTATAAATATGGTAAAGAGTGAACACACGCACCAGAGGAACACTGTACATACGCAACTGAGGCGGACGCTCGCTTTTTGCCGACGGGATGAACATATCTGCACCACTTGAAATTTCGGGAAGCCCAGATTTCCATACAGACATGGCTCACGCACCACCAGTCCGACGACCTACGCAGCAGCCCGACGCTCCATGCAACAGTCCGGCAGCAACCCATGCCTAAGAGACCAGTTGGCTTTTCGCTTCTCTTGGGCCAATGACTGGGGTCACGAAAAACAGAGGTCAGAGATTGGAGCATGAACTGCTTGCCAACCGAAACTACGAAATGAAAAACTGCACGTACCCAATCCTCGCCATAGCCCCTATAAAACTCGTTCAACGTGGGTTCGTAAATGCAATGTATTATGGTCTTACCACCTATCGCACAACACAACCACGAAGTATAGCGATATGGCTAAGCGTGCATCAATCCGGCTAACGGGGTTGTAAAAGTTGTTTTTGTTCACGACCAAATTTCTGGAGGAATAATTGTCGCCAGTAGCGTAGTGCGATATATGACAAAAGGTCATTAAGTCCATACCCAGTAGCATCATCAGAAATCAGCCTATCACAGCAACCGAAACGTTCAATCACACACTGTCCTTCAACAAATATCAGGATAAGTGCTGCTGCCAGGAAAGCAGGTGCGCCTGCCCTAGACTAATGAGATAGCCCAATGACAACAGCAGTTTTCTTCCACCCTCGGGACCTACCGGAGTCTCACGTTTAAACTCGATCTGCGGCTGGATTCGCTTTCCTCGACGGCGAACAAAAACAGCGAAGGACCTTGTTAGCCAGGGCAGCAAAATGCATGGTGGATCTCGAATCAGCGGCAAGCGGCCCTAGGAATGACGTCAGATATACAGGTATCCACGAGGCCGTGTCCCCTCATGAAAATCACGTTGCACTTCGAGCCCCACCTCCACCGCCATCAAACTATCCAGCATACCTTAGGCAAGTTTCAAGCCTGGCGCAACATGTGCTGACTGGTGGGCGTCTCTCGCCGTGCCCCAACAAGTAAATTGCACCGAAATTTAGCAATAACTTCACATCAGGCGTCTAGCTCTGAACAAATTACTCGCCCTGACAGGAGGGGAGGGAGGGTGGGCGATATGACACCCCCCCCCCCCCTCCCTACGGTTTTCTTAGGATACCAATGTGGCATATTGTGCAGTCTCGTTCAAATTTTGGTAGCCTCTGTGGCATCCATTGCACGCGTGTTGACACCGAAACAGTGTCCCTAGCTATTCTGGTTTTAGAACAGCGATGTTTTTTACGAGTATTGCGAGACGATTTAAGGCCGGCTGGTGCGTCGCGCGGCAAGCGACGATCCTGCGGGCCGCGCACAATAAGGGAATGGCCTAAGTCCTTCATGGGTAACCCCGTCTCCGTCCCCCATAACCAAAACGCATGCCGCCTCCTATGACCGCCATAGAAGAGCACCATCGGCGCCAAAATATGGCATCTAAAGGAGCGCCTTCATATGCTTATCAGAAGAAAAGCGTGCGTCAGTGCCTGCTTACTAGATCCAACCTTGCGTAGCTTCTATACCGCTTAGATTAAAAGCTTTTAGAAACTATGCAAATATTAAAACATATATTGCGCTAAATCAAAATAAAGTGGGCTAAATCCGGTGAGAAAAATGGGTGGGTAGGTTGTTGGGCCTGCGGTTGGGCCCCAAACAATTTACAGAAATTAACACCCCTGAAATGTATTACCACGGAGGCATAAAATCTATGTATGGAGACCGCATGTTTTGCATAGCGTGCTGAATTTTTTCTTGGCTGGCCCCAAAATTTACGGCCCAAAAACATTTGTGTCGCCAAGCTTCGCGTAAATATATACATTTTTGTCGCTGACCTTATCCACAAAGCCTTTGCCCTTTATTATTTTTGTCCGTAATAGAGAATAATATTGTTGTGACGCAAGAGATTGAATTAGGGAGTAAGGTACTAAAATTCGCTAAAGAGATTAAATTGGTAGGGGTGTCCCAGAATGCTGATGATGTGACCCAAATTCAGTTTGAGTTGAATAAACTAGTGAGCTGGTCTTCTCTGTGGCAGTTTTCATTGAATTATAACAAGTGCAAGGTGATGCTGTTAAGTAATTTTGGCAGCAGGGGCATTAGTAAAAAAAATGATGATATACCGAGAGTTTGCCCAGATCGAAGAAGAAAAGGACTTAGGGGTTATAGCTTTCAGGGATTTAAGGGCTGGATAATAATTTGGGGCCGCTAGGAACACGGCATTTCGGATACTGGGAATTACTAATTGCGGGAATGAAGCATTGTTGTCAACTTTTAAAAAGACTGGAAAGAGGACAGCGAAAAGCACCTAGGATAATAAATCAGATCGGCGACTTAGAATATGAGGATAGGCTTAGGGCCTTACATTTGTATTCACTGAAGTATCGTAGACTTGAAAGGAATTGGAAAGAGATTTTGGCGATTATGAAAGAGATAGGCAAAGTAAATCTACATGGAACACTGGAAATTAGGCCGGAGACAGGCAGAGACAAATGCAAGCAGTCAAGTAGAAGTGAACCATTGGAAGGGGCTGATCCACGAAATGGCAGGAAGTCCCTCTCTAGCAACATTTATAAATCATTTGGTCAGGTTCTATCGGTCTAGATCTCATTTATAGCTTAATTCATGCTGGTCAGGTGGTAAGATTAGCTTTGAGGATGTGTACGGAACCTGAAGCAGGCCAACCTCGATGGGCCTTGTGGCTCTTTGTTGGCATGATGTCTTTATGTCATGCCTTTATGTCAGAATGAATCACCACTCCACAGGTGGTGCTCTCAGGTAAATCATAAGAATATCTATTCTAACTAGGAGTATAGATGTACTCCTATGCATAGGGTAAGCTAATCATTACCTCAGATGCATCAAAATACGCGATCTGGTAGCAAGGATCCTGCATTCCGTACAGCTAAACGAGGGCGTCGGACTTGAACCTTTCGATCTGGGTAATGGACCACTACACTCATTTGATAACGTACGGTGTCTGCAGCCATTTTCTAGCCTCGAAGTAACCTTTCCTCCGACGGGCCGTGGTGAGATGAAGGCCACAGATGTCGAGCCCTCTTTCGGGCAACGGGAACCAGGTAGATGGTCGTACTGTCGCCCTCCGGGGCGTTCGTGGCGTCCGCAAAAAAAAAAACGCACGGCGCTCGCCACTTTTTCCAAGTGCGCTTCGCCGACGGCGCCAAGTAATCTATTAACCGGTCGGCATAACGTCGTTGAAAAACTATGTGCATGCGCCAGACATCCACCAAGAGGGCTAGTCTGGAGTTACGGGCTAGCATAGTGTGACAACTGCCAAACTGTGGTTTATTCAGGAAGTAGAACACCGTCGAACTAGACACCCATTCTGCAACACATGCAAAGGACTCATTAGCTGGCAACTAGCCATACACCACATGCAGCCCTGGGAGCCAGCATAAGGGCATATAGCATGCAGCAACGAGAGCGTCCACGACCACATGCACCAAGCAATCACCATACAAGCCATTACCGCATGCGATATCCACAGTACATGCACAATCACCAAGGCATACACATGCAACGCGTCACAATAGCAATGGTGCTCGAAACCAGCGCCCAGCCAGTATTGACCAGCCAGCGTGGCATCGAGTAGATGGGAGGTATTTGGTTTCGTCATGCGTTTCAAGACGGGCTGGTGGGCTCATCAAGTAGAAACCCATGTGGCATGTGGCGTGTAACATCCACTCAAGTGACAACCACATTATAATTCCAACTACTGAAAACGTCTTCCATTCCCACCAAGACCCCTGCTGAGAAAAGAATAACAAACATGCACTAGGGAGAACTGGCCATGCCTGCTGTGCTTTCGTAAAAGCAACAGGGTCGCCCAAAACCCGGATGAGTAGGACCTGGGACAACCATAGGTGAGTGACAAATGCACCTTCGTGTACGTCATCTAGTACGGTGATGCTCCCGTGCGACTTAAGCACGGTCTGAAACATGGCGAGGGACGGACTCCGGCTGGCCCTAACCGACTGCCGGATATGCTTCCCAACACCCTGGAACTGGGAAAATGACGCATAATTGGAATAGATTACAACGGACGAAAGGTCACACTGTATTGCAGAGGACGATATAAAGCCGCGGTGTGGTAAGCGCAGCTTAGTATGGAGTATGGAACTTCATGTGTTCCAAATGCAATGGGGACTAGTGCCTTCGCTAGTTCGGCGATCAGCTGACGTCCAGCGCAAGGCGCAGGCTGCCATTCCATAACCATTTATCAGCTACTCACGTTGGCCAGCATTGAACGGTTGGTATTTGGTACCACTCCGCGCAAGCATGCCGCGCGTGGTTCGCATTTGGCACGCATGGCCACCGCTGGAAACCGTGTGTCATGGTACTGTCATTTAACAAACCGCACGAAGATGACGCAGTCTGTGGTTGTCACTCCCGTTGTCCCACATCACACCGCGCAGGCATTCGTTGATCGAAGTCCGTCATGTTGTCAAACACGTTTCAGGACATGTGCCTTCATTTTGTCATGAAGCGGACCAGGTCGTTAGCGCAGGCCTGGATAGATTTCAGTGGGCATTCGGAGTCGTCACACCGTAGTGCGTCTCGGATGATGGTGTTGAGCTGGTGCGTGACGGCCGGTCCACTCGTCACTGCGGAAGGCAGCAACCATCGCCGCAGCGTTGCTCGTAAATAAGAGTACGGGCTGGCCTCTGCACTGGAAGGATTGCCAGCAGAATAATCAAGCAAGGTAGGTGTAAATGACTTCATGGTCTCCGGTCACCGCGGGTTGGGCACCGCTGACACGTCTGAGGTCAAGTCCGCAGGTGGAGACCCGTCGCGGTCAGTATGGGTGATTGCATTACGGCCTATGCACGACACATTTATTTGTGGTCGGATTTTCACCGCTTTTCGTGGAAAAGCCATGCCGATGGATTGCAAACCGGCTGAAGGTTCGTGAGAACTGGCGCGTAATAAAGCCGTGCTTACCTCTAAAGCTGCAAATGTTCCAGTTGCGATGTTCTTGGCCGTTATGCTCTGCGGCACGGTTATGCTCAAGGTGCATAACATAACCACATGCCGCGACTTGTCGACGTTAACTGCAATGACCACTTGTAATCCGTCGTGAGCCATAATTCTCCCCAGTGATCAGCCGCCACCGGGAGGGCTGGTGGCTGTGGACAGGCAAAACAATGCCAGAGTGGATTGCCAACGTATATCGGAGACTCACCCCGACCCTCGCGCTGGGTGGTTGAGGTGAAGAATGAGGTACGCGAGGTCGCGATTTTTGTTGGGAAAATGTCATTGTCAATATCGCTTTTGCTATGCGTTACCAAGTGCCTAACAAAGAAAAAGGTTAGTCACTGCCAGTTGTGCCGCAATGAACATTCCCGGGCGCGATGGACATAAACCTCATCTCGATCGCTGCTATGCAGTTCAGAGCCAGACTGGGGCGGCCAAATAACGCCTCGCGGTTAGGCTGCTGGGTAACTCGAAACAGTGCAGGCGGCCCATTCTCTCTGGAGCACAGGCAGGGTAGGTTTCCTGGCTCACATATGTGATCGACGTCTTGCCATGCTTAGCAATCGCAGCTCCACGGCTAGGGTTGCCTTGACGGTTGCCGTCAGCTTGTGGACAGCGCGCGTAGATGTTGGCCGACTCGGCAGCATCTCGTCCCGTTTCTGAAGTGCTCGGTCGAATCCTGCGCCTAGGTCCGCGAATGCTTGCACTTGTGCCAGGAAGCCGTCGCGTGGAAGCGGCATCAGGTTGGGACAAGATAGCGCAAGAACTTCAGATGGTATGACCATTCGGAGCAATGTTCTCGTCATTGTTACGGGGCGGAGGCGTCCTGGTAACTCCCACGCCATTGACGAAGACAACGGCACAAACAATATAATCATCAGTACTAGAACGTCATCCCAAACATTTAAATAAAACCAGCCCATTATCAACGTTTAAGCAGGTCGGAATGCATGTGCGGCCTTCACGTCATGTCGTGAGGCCTACCCGTGAACCTGCCTGCGGGTGAATATAAACGTGACGTACTGTGCACGCTATTTCGGCGACAGGCCGTGTTAGAGCGACCAATGCACAACCGGATGTTCCCCATGACTACGCGCGTCGTGTCCCGCCTACAGCAACTGATAATCATCGCATGTCAAGCTCTGCCAGGATCCCAATAACTTTGGCCAGCTTTTGTTTGGCCATGTTCCGCTTCCTCCGGCGGTTGTTCTTTTTTAGGAAGGAAGGTCTTCGGCGTTGGCTGGTTTGACTCTGTCCCGCTGTGATGCCGTGCGATGTGCCGGGCCAAGGTCGTCGTGCCAGTACCCCGTGGCTCGACACGTGCTGACACCCCGCGCGCTACTCCTTGCCCTGGACTAGTCATACTTTTCACTGTCCACCGCCCTGATAAGAGCTCTACACGGGCCTGTCGGCTTTGATGTGCCACTACCTTGTGCGAGAAACATGATGCTCTAACAACGTTGGCTTAGGAGAGCTCTCACGCTCTCATAAGACAGCCATCGCCGTTTCACTGGCCTTTGCCCCCTCCCCCCCCCCCCACACCTGGACCCGGCCCATCGGCGCCCATCCCGGTGCATATTAATATATCAATTGGTTAGATTACTCTTGCGGCTCATGACCTGACATCTTCGCGCTAATTTTGCCTTCAAAACTGACCAGTGGCAGCGTTTGGTGTTGTTCCAGACTCTTAGACACCGCATAGAACAAAGGTCAGTATATAACTGCAAGATGAATCTAGAAACACACCAGATGGGCAATGCAGGCTCAGTTTCCATTTCATACTACATATTTTACGGCCGGTAACTGGAGGTGGCACGGCGCAGATGCTAAAACAAAGGCCGTATTCAAAATTTAAACAAATGCTATGCCCCGGATTGTTGCAAAAGGCTCTCGAGAAGTTACATACATTACACTAACAACGCTGACAGCACGTATTGGCTCATAGCAAAACAAAGTCAGGTGACCTTTCCATATAATTAACTCCGACGTTTTGATAACGAGTGTCGCATTGTATTAAAACCAGAGGAAACCAAATTTTGACTAAGAGTGCGATGTTTTTACTGCGCTCGTTACCATCCATCCGCCAGGTGGATAGAACAACAGCCTGAGCGCCAACCAGTTCATCGCTATGTTCCGGGACGTGCACAGGACGCTGCAGGAACATCGCGGGGATGGATCCCATATCCGTTCTGGCTTCGGGTCACAGTTCCAGTCAGTGGTGTACCGATGGCACGTCTGACACCAACAGCGCCGAGGTGCTCGATGTGGCGTTGATGCCATTCGTGGGTGGTCATGACGACCCGCCGGGCCTGTCCTTCGTGGTCGTCGGCGCCATTTGCCTTATCGTCGTGCTCGTCATCCGAATGGCACTGGACGGGGCAGACAGCGCCACCTGCAAAAAAGGTGCTGGTGAGCCGTCACAAGCCGACGAGGGGGGGGGGGGGGGGCAGAACCTAGTTGGGACTAGGCCCGGTGATCCCACGATGCATGTGTGCGTGAGTGCGAGTGTTTGTGCAAAAAAGGCCGTTTAAGAATCGTTAAATTAGTATGGCGAGGTAGTCGTTTGTTGATTTCAATGCTATAACATTCCTCCCGCATAAATAGTTCGGTAATGCTTTATACTTTTGATTATCTTAATGCCTACGCTTTGTAGTTGGTGTAAGCCGTTTGATGTGCTCGGGGAAATGGTTAAATTGTTGCAAGAATATCGTTTGTTCCAGCAAGGAGGCCAAATTTTTTTCTAAAAAAATCAGGAGATTGTTGTCGAGAAGGAGCGCAAAGGACAACGGAAGACCAAAAACAGATGGGCATTACGTGGAAGAACTGCGATTAGGACGATGTTTAGGACAATCAGGAAGGTGTGTGACTGCCATTAACTCCTTACATTGATTACATTGGGTCTGCTTTCATCTTGGTCAAACATGTAAGAGTGGGTTAAGATTACATGACTCATGCTTAGTCGAGGGCAATGATTGCACATTTATCCTCGTACTGCAGTACCTACATGGAGCAAAATGTGAAGACAGCATAATTTGAGAGGTGCAAGTGCCAAGGATTTCGCTGTTGCTGCAGTATTATATTCCCGGGCGTTGGTTAACTTACGGATCCATAATTCCGTAGGGTTAGGTGGAAAAGGTGCGCAGGGAATAACACCCCGACTACCCTAACATATCTCTGAGACCATTTCCGGGTTTAGATGTGGGCCACGACTCTAACTAGCAGAAATTGAAAAAATTGCCAGAAATCGTCCCAAATTACAAGAAAGTCTCCTATCTTGAATTGAAACGGCTCACGCTGCACTTGGCCTCCCGGAGTAAGCCGCTCACTACCCCCATTAGGGCAGACCAAGCCTGCAACCACCCTGGAAATGTCGCTCGTAAGGCTACAGGACGTGCGTCCACCTTCCAAACGCGCGTACCAGGGTGCTGTGAGCTCGTCTAGCCCGCCGTATTTCATCCCCACACTATGTTGCTGTTGTATCTTGTACCTTTTTGGGCAGACTGTTTCTAAGCACTTCCGGCGAAAGCTCTTCGG